ACGGAAATAATTAAGTGTGAGCACGGGTGAAAGTTTTCAGAGTGAATTTTTAAACGCCAAGAGTATTAAAAGCTAATTGTCGGAATAAGAGGAAGCTCGACGCCACGACAGTTCATCGATGGCGTGGTTATCGTCCGCTAAAATCGCTGATATCCTTTTTCCCCCGTCTTAATAACCCTTTTCATAAGGATTCTTTTGTCACGTTCACCTTTGCACACTTTTAATTAAATTGTTAAATATCGTCGTCGAGCGTTCTCTTCTATAGCCCTTCCTTTGTAGCAAAGACCACAACGAGGTTTCGTTCGATAGTATGATCGAAGGCAATTGGTAAATTAGTGTCTACGAGCACTGCAAAAATATTTGCCTAATATTCCAGCGTATCAAATGACAAAGAAAGATATTCGAACGCAAATTCAATTTAATGGACAAAGTAACGAGCACAAGTATAGCGTGTTTCAATAAAGGAACGACAGAACTTACGATCGTAGTGGCCGCCATGTTTGTTATCCGCCAGTTTCCATCAAATTTTTCAAGCTGATCTCCATCATGGCTATAATAATGAATATTTTTATACGAAATTTCTCCAAGAAGTAGTCTAAGGAATGTACTTAAACTAAGAAACTAAGAAACTAAGAAACTAATAAACTAATAAACTAAGAGACAAAGAATCTAACAAACTAACAAGCTAACGAACTATCAAACTAAGAAACTAAGAAACTAACAATCTAAGAAACTAAGAAACTAATAAACTAATAAACTAAGAGACAAAGAATCTAACAAACTAACAAGCTAACGAACTATCAAACTAACAAACTAACAAACTAACAATCTAAGAAACTAAGAAACTAATAAACTAATAAACTAAGAGACAAAGAATCTAACAAACTAACAAGCTAACGAACTATCAAACTAACAAACTAACAAACTAACAATCTAAGAAACTAAGAAACTAATAAACTAATAAACTAAGAGACAAAGAATCTAACAAACTAACAAACTAACAAACTAACAATCTAAGAAACTAAGAAACTAAGAAACTAAGAAACTAACAAACTAACAAACTAACAAACTAAGAAACTAACAAACTAACAAACTAACAAACTAACAAACCAACAAACCAACAAACCAACAAACCAACAAACCAACAAACCAACAAACCAACAAATTAAGAAACTAAGAAACTAACAAACTAAGAAACTAACAAACTAACAAACTAAGAAACTAAGAATAAGGAATGTACTTTCAAAAAACATTAAACATTTATTAGAAAAGTTTCTCGAAAATTGCCTTTATTTGCACCAGATAAACGGCGTTTCGTCCAAATTTAGAAATTGCTTTTATTCCTTTCTTTTTTCGTTTAAAAATCTTTCGCGCGGCGTTCTCGCTTCCGACAAGATTTGTCGGATTCTAATAACTTCCGTTCAAGGCCTGGTACCGATAATCCCATTGTCGAGTGGGTATCGAGAAAACTCGAGAGTTGAATGGAGCACCGCAGTAGACTGCTAATGCACTGTCAACAATGGATCTCTCACCGCGAAATCTCGAACCCCCTGGACTGAATTCAACCTGTACCGACTTCGATTACTCGACACGCGCGGCGCCATCGCGCTCACACGAGGCGTACGCGTTTTTTAAATATAAAATTCACTCGTTTGCCTCCTCACATTTCGTTCATAAATCCAAAACTCTGAAAATTAAATTGATTTAACGCCAGAAATTCGAACGACTGGCGAGAGACGAATCTCGAAACGATGAAAACGAAAACACATTTTACGATTTATTACAACTTAACACTAGATTTACGGAAGTCGTCAATTTGACGGATGTCTGATTCCATATTTAAAATTGCAGAACGCGTAAATATTATTTTTTAACAACTTATGTTGTATTTGATCGATGCAATGGCAAGAATACATATTCTAATTAAAAAAAAATCGTATTTTAAGGTAATTGTCAACATGAAAGGTTTCAATAAATATATATGCGATCAATGCCCGTAAATCTACTGTTAATAACGTTTTCTCATTCCACTTTTTCTTCGCTTCGTCTTTATTATTCTCGTTGAACGAATTGTAGCAATCTTCCAAGGAACATATAAACGAAATTTAAGTTTGCAGAGCACGAATGGCGGCCATTGCAGGGAGAAAGAAGCATTCAGTGCCGAATTAATGGCGGAAAGTAGTTTTTCTTTAGCCGTGGGCCATTCGATGTCCGATTAAAAGGTCTAATGCAGCGGTGCACAACTTTTTTCGCCCCTTTTTTCGGATCGAATAAAATAAAACAACTGAGCAGAGTTTCTAGCAAAGTTTCGGTACCATAATCTCGGACGTTTTTCGTTGAAAATAAACAATAGGATCGCTACTATCGTTTTTGATTGATCAGAGTTTATTTGCTCACTCTCGTAATAAACAGAGAATAATAATGGTATTATGCGAAACATAGCTTAGTCAGGACATTCTTTGGACTGGCTATATTTCGATACCATAATCTCGGAGTTAGTTTGCAGTTAGTTAGTTAGTTTCTTAGTTAGTCAGATGGTTTGCAGTAAATTAGTTAGTTTGTCAGTTAGTTAGTGTAAGATATTTTCCCTTTAATATCTAAATTCAATGTTTTGTACCGAAAGCTGGCTCGAACGTAACTAACTAAATTATTATTAACAAACGATTAACTAATAAAATGAACAACTTCTAATACATACTTCACGCGAAACACACACACATAGTCGGCAATGCCTTCGATCGAAACTCTCACATAATATAACCGCATTCATTCATTACAAACCTAAAGGTTGCTTACATTAGTTAGTTTGCAGTAAATTAGTTAGTTTGCCAGTTAGTTAGTTAGTTTGTCAGATACTTGGTTTGTTTGCAGTTAGTTAATTATTTTGTCAGTTAGTTTCTTAATGTACAGTTAGATAGTTCGTATGTGAGTTAGTTAGATAGTTTGTGGTTAATTAGTTACGCTGTTAGATAGCTAGTTAGTTAGTTAGTTAGTTAGTTTGCAGTTAGTTTGTCAGTTAGTTAGTTAGTTAGTTATTTAGATAGAATATTAGTTAATTAGTTAGTTTGTCAGTTAGTTAGTTAGATTGCAGTAAATCAGTTAGTTCGTTTGTTAGTTAGTTATTTAGATAGAATATTAGTTAATTAGTTAGTTTGTCAGTTAGTTAGTTAGTTAGTTATTTAGATAGAATATTAGTTAATTAGTTAGTTTGTCAGTTAGTTAGTTAGATTGCAGTAAATTAGTTAGCTTGTCAATTAATTATTTAGTTTGTCAGTTAATTAGTTAGTTTGCAGTTAGTTAGTTAGTTTATCACTTAGTTTTTCGTTGAAAATAGACACAATAGGATCGCTACTATAGTTATTAATTGATCAGAGTTTATTTGCTCACTCTCGTAATAAACAGAGAATAATAATAGTATTATGGGGAACATAGTTTGGTCAGAGCATTCTTTGGAGGAGCTATAGTTTTATGATCTTAACAATAAGGATCGTTGCAGGTCGCGTTCATCAGCACGGACTATAATTCCGAAGCAAGCAGGCGAAATTTGGGCTAGCGGAAGGTCAGCCTTCAGCTGAAATGAACTTTGGGACATTGTTCCGTTACCGCTCTTGAGTTGTTTTTTGCTTTGTAAGCTGGCGCAAAGTATTGTTGGAAAGCCACCTTTGTCTTTGGGAGAGAGGCCTCCGGTACTTGGGCGGAACAAGTGTCTTTTGAACGGACTGGAAATAATAATAACAAAAAAGAAAAAGTCTAACACGCGGGATTGATACAATGGTAAACGCAACAGAGGATAAAAAGATTAAAAACGTTAATTATTATAGCCATAATGCTACATCCAGTAAATCTTTTGTAACTTCACTGTTACGGTACTTATTTGTTTTTATTTTACTGTTTACTGTAATATTTTAGTCATTCTAAAGAACCCTCAAGCATCGAAAAGAGTCAAAAAAAATTTCAAATCTTTCAATCCGTCACAGTGGTTTCCCCCCTTAAAAAAAATTCAATTGACCATCAAACTTATTGTTAATTCAATTTGTAGAAATGCGACGCGATTCAAACGAGCGGCTAACAAATGGACCGTTTATTTTGAAAGTGGTGCAAGTCCATTTTCTCTTCTTTCGAGAAAATTCAAGATATTAAAAATCCAACACGCGGGATTGATACAATGGTAATCGCAACAGACGATAAAAAGATCAAAAACGTCGTAAAAGTTGAAACGCAGAGAACGTTACGAGGGCGAATGGCGTAAAATAAAAATTAACGAAGACTTTAGCGGTAATATAATCGATGATAATTACTTGAACAAAATAATATTTTTATCAAAAACAACAATGGTGTCGTTACATTTTGTCCTCGTTAGAAAAGATGGAAATTGAATTTTATTATTCCGTACTCCGAGGTTTCCTATTTAATTTTTCCTATTATTGTATTTGTGGAACATTTACTGTTATACAGTATTTACAGTATTTACTGTTATACATATACTGTTATACCGTGGAACAGCTTGCAAAATTGGGAAGAACAATTCCACGTATTTGGAATACTATTCCACCGGAAGAATTTAATTTGGTATCGAGACGATTAAGTTCTCTAACCGGAAGGGTAAACCTCGCGGTTCGAGGACCGAATACCATCCCCTGGAAGGAATAAAAAACGAAAGGAAAAAAATTGATATCAGTCGTGGTAAGAGTTTCGGGAGGAACTGCGGGCCAACTTTCCGAAAAGTGGTGGGGGGCGATGATAAGGGGTAGGGGAGGATCAGAAAGCGCGAAGAAGAGAGGCAGAGTAAGTAGGCGAATGAAAGAGGGAAAGCGTGGGGTGGCAAATGGGGAGTTACCATCCTTCGTCAGCTGTCCTGTACGAAGCAGTCAGTGCGCGTCGTGGCTCCGCCACGTGCTTCTCGTGTCTTTGGAAAGTTTGTGACAATCGACGATGGGGGAAGATTCTTTTTCACGACGGTGTCGCGCGATTTCAAGATGAGACCCATGGAAAGGACGTTGATACTTTCGACAGAGTTCGTCGCTTCGTTCTCGTGATGAAGAAAGGATTGTTTGAACGTCACCGATTCAAGAAGTTCCAATGTGAGAAGATCGAGCGTAATCGGTGAGTACGATCGTACAATTTTATTAGAAATTTTTATCTTAAAAACGTGGCAAAGGTGTCGAAATTATCGCGAATTTGCCAAATTCTGTAGAAACTGTAGAATACAGTGATTTGTTTCTTTCGCGTGATTCCTTCGAAATTTCTCTAGAAATGATCCTCCATTAATTTTTTAAACTGATGTCGTTAATTTATATTTTCCCGTGGCGAAGTGTTTCGAACTTCTTTAACACTGTTGGTCGATCGAGCCTCGTAAATGGCATAGAATTGTTTGCAGTGGAATTTTAATAATTGCACAACTTTTGATGGTAAAATTTCTAACTCTGACTTTCGACACCAAAATCGACGAAATTTTCTAAACTTGTTGCAACTATTTTCCATTTCTTGGTGCTTAAATTTTTTGAATTTTTTGCATTCGATGTTTCACACAACTGGGGGAAAAATCATATCTATAATGCAATATTTTTTACATAGAATCGTTAAAAAATAAAGGGTGTTTAAATAAAATATCCTATAAACAAAATTGAAAAAGAAGCAGTTCTAGACGATCTTCAATGTTCATTGTTTTTGTAAAACCTTTTGAATAGCGCAGTAAAAATGAATTTCCATTTTAAGAAAAGATAGAGTTACATTTCCTAGATGCATCGATGCACAAAAATGCATAAAAGTGTGTCCAGATTACGCAAGGAAATAAACGGCTCCGAACGCACCGTATCGTTCGATACCGAAGTTCTTGGACAGTGTCGGCGTAGTATTTCGTAAACAATGAGTTGTAGATGCCCCCATAAATGAAAATCTAATGGAGATTCATCCGGTGAACGAAATGGACGCACGGTTCGATATGCGCCCAAACCAATGATCTTCAAACACGGTAGTCAAATAATTTCTAACCATTCGTGCATTACGTGCTGGATAACCATTCTCCTGGAAATACATTCCTCTTCGTGCGTTATGTGAAATACCGTGCAATAAGTTTCGAAACGATCGCTAAACGCGAAGAAACAAAGATATTTTGTTTCGTAGTCCGTGAACCCCTTCGCGTACGATTTAATGTAATTTTTCAAACCTATACTATTTAATTTTAATTAAATTTGTTCATAAAAAAAAAAAAATAGAGTTATTTTACGAATATCTTGTGAATTTATTAGAATTATGAAACTTGACACGAATAAACAGTTGGAAATACAAAGATACGATCTATTAATCTGTTAATTTTTATCTAACATATAACAGAAGTTAATTTATAATGTACACATTAATGTACACTGTTTTTGTTTACAAGTTTTAATCGAGAAAAATGTAAGAATCGAATATAATTTTGACAAAAAAAGAAAGGACATTCGATAAGAGGGGAGGTTTTAATTATTTTAGTAAATTTACATACACTTTTGAAATATCTTGTGAATTTATGAGACTCGATGACGAGTGAGTGACTAATTGTGAAACTTGAAACAAAGAACAATTAACAATTTCTAACGATCGTTACCTTATTTCCAACTGGGATACTTTCGTCTAAATAAACAGTTGGAAATACAAAGATACCACCTATTAATCTGTTAATTTTTATCTAACATATAACAGAAGTTAATTTATAATGTACACATTAATGTACATTGTTTTTGTTTACAAGTTTTAATCGAGAAAAATATAAGAATCGAATATAATTTTGACAAAAAAAGAAAGGACATTCGATAAGAGGGGAGGTTTTAATTATTTTAGTAAATTTACATACACTTTTGAAATATCTTGTGAATTTATGAGACTCGATGACGAGTGAGTGACTAATTGTGAAACTTGAAACAAAGAACAATTAACAATTTCTAACGATCGTTACCTTATTTCCAACTGGGGTATTTTCGTCTAAATAAACAGCTGGAAACACAAAGATTCAACCTATTAATCTGTTAATTTTTATCTAACATATAACAGAAGTTAATTTATAATGTACACATTAATGTACACTGTTTTTGTTTACAAGTTTTAATCGAGAAAAATGTAAGAATCGAATATAATTTTGACAAAAAAAGAAAGGACATTCGATAAGAGGAGAGGTTTTAATTATTTTAGTAAAACATACACTTTTGAAATATCTTGTGAATTTATGAGACTCGATGACGAGTGAGTGACAAATTGTGAAACTTGAAACAAAGAACAATTAACAATTTCAAACGATCGTTACCTTATTTCCAACTGGGGTATTTTCGTCTAAATAAACAGCTGGAAACACAAAGATTCAACCTATTAATCTGTTAATTTTTATCTAACATATAACAGAAGTTAATTTATAATGTACACATTAATGTACACTGTTTTTGTTTACAAGTTTTAATCGAGAAAAATGTAAGAATCGAATATAATTTTGACAAAAAAAGAAAGGACATTCGATAAGAGGAGAGGTTTTAATTATTTTAGTAAAACATACACTTTTGAAATATCTTGTGAATTTATGAGACTCGATGACGAGTGAGTGACAAATTGTGAAACTTGAAACAAAGAACAATTAACAATTTCAAACGATCGTTACCTTATTTCCAACTGGGATATTTTCGTCTAAATAAACAGTTGGAAATACAAAGATACCACCTATTAATCTGTTAATTTTTATATAATATACAACAGAAGTTAATTTATAATGTACACATTAATGTACACTGTTTTTGTTTACAAGTTTTAGTCTCGAATATAATGGGTATAGCCGAATAAGGGGGTGAAATGTGCCCTTGAACGAAATGTGACATACGATGGATCCATCGATAGAGCATCAAGAAAAAACGTTCTGTGCCAAATTTTAACCCTCTATCTTGTTTGGAAGGGTAGTTATTGAGAAAATTCGGATTAACGAATTTCTGCCTATTTCCCCTATTTAATCGAGTACAAAAATTATGAAAAAAATCTGGTGCATTGTGGTTATCGAGATACGTGTTTGAGAATTTTTTCCGATTTTTCGATTCCAAATCCTAGGTGTGAAAAATTGAAAACGCAAAAAAACACAGAAAAATATGGATTTCGTATTGAAGCTTTCGAGACACTAGATTACATAATTACTGTAAATGCGTATTGTCATTGGTTATCTCCCTGAATTTTTTCAGATTCAAAAAAAAAAGGACATTCGATAAGAGGGGAGGTTTTAATTATTTCAGTACATTTACATATACTTTTGAAATATCTTGTATTTTAGATTTTTGAGAGAAATCGTTGGAAGGGATAGGGAAAACTTGCAAAAATATCGAAGGTATGAAAAGAGCGGATGTAACTCGACGCAAAAAAAAAAAAAACCCTTTGGTTTTTATCTAAAGTGGGGCAGATTTATCGCGACGCGAACGAAGACGTTTCGTTATACGAAAAAAAAAATTGCCACTTAGGTGCCGGCGAAGAAACTCCCAGCGCGACTTTATCGTCCTTCGATGTAATGGCGATAATTCATCGGGGGGAAATAAATTCGCGCCTTCTCGCGTTACCGGGGCCCCGGGAGAAAGAGAGATAAACCGTTTAATAAATTTGTCCGCGACCGATATACCTTCCTGACGCGCGTCTAATAATCTACGAAGAGAAAAAAAAACAGAAAATTATTGCTCGACTCTCCGCGAAACTCGCGTAACGACCGTTCGCGTCCTGTAACGTCGCGTAAATTTACGTTCGACGGCCAGAAATTGGTTTTAACGCCCATGGTGCAGTTGCTTATTCAACGAACTGAGTTTTTATTACGTACTTGTGGGCGGAGAAATATTCGAAGAAAATATTACACCAGAGTTCTATCAAGTAATAACCTTCGAATGAATAAAGGAAAAGGTAGACAAGATCGAAGGACTATTTAAAGAATGAGATTTCGTTCGAAAGTTTAACTTGATCGTAATACGATACCAATTAAAATATCTTAAAGATTTTGAACGGGTTAAGAGTTCGATCGATGGAGGGAAACTTTTCTTCGTTCGCGACTTTTTCTGCTCGCGCGGACCTTTCAACGAGCTCGATTATCGCGTAGCAGAGAAATATAGTATATACGCGGCAGTCTGATCTCTGTCAAATAATAGCGAGGGTACGAGTCATTCGCAGTCCGATTAGAAAGTTTTATTAGAAAAGTTGCGCCTTTCGTCGCGGGGATCTTTCCTGTATTGTGAAAAATTAGGTCGCCGGTATTCCGTTCGCCCCTTTGGCAATCAGTTTAAAAGCGTACTTTTCACGTCGCGATACATCGACGATACTTGCTGAACTTTCTGTTCCCGTGCAGTTCAAATTAAAAGACGTCGGGTTGTCGTTCCTGGGGCCCCCCCGTAAGATTTCACCGCGGCAAATTCAATTTAACGGACAAAGTAACGAGCATATATAGTGTTCTCCGATAAAGGAACGATAGAACTTACGATCGTAGCGGCCGCCATGTTTGTTATCCGCCAGTTTCCATCAAATTTTTCGAGGCCTCTCAAGCTGATCTCTATCTATGGCTATAACAATGGCTATAAAAATTTTTTTCGCCTCTCTTCTTCGCGCTTTCTGACCCTCCCCCACCCCTTATCATCGCCCCCCACCACTTTTCGGAAAGTTGGCCCGCAGTTCCTCCCGAAACTCTTACCTCGACTGATATCAATTTTTTTTCTTTCGTTTTTTATTTCTTCCAGGGGATGGTGTTGTAAACAGTAAAATAAAAACAAATAAGTACTGTAACAGTGAAGTTACAGGAGATTTACTGGATGTAGCATTATGGCTATGATAATTAATATTTTTATGTGAAATTTTTCCAAGAAGTAGTTGTAGAAATGTACTTTCGAAAACGTTAAACATTTATCCAGAAAAAGTTTCATAGTTACGGGTAAAAAATTCTTGAAAATTGCCTTTATTTTCGACCCTCGCAGTGGTTTCCTTAAATGAAAGTGAACAGCTGCGTTATTCATAGAAAATTTTGTTATAGTATAATCATAAACGTGGGGCAACTGGCCCAATGCAATACCAAATTTCTGGACTCGATTAGGTACAAGAAATCACGACTCTGCTAAAGACCAAGAAGAAAA